GCAAAAATGACTGAAAATTACAAAAATCGCAAAAATGCCTGAAAATTGCAAAAATCCCAAAAATGCCTGAAAATTGCAAAAATCGCAAAAATGCCTGAAAATTGTAAAAATTTCAAAAATTCCTGAAAATTGCAGAAATTGCTAAAATTTCTGAGAATTGTAAAAATTGCAAAAATGCCTGAAAATTGCGAAAATCGCAAAAATGCCTGAAAACTGCGAAAATCGCAAAAATGCCTGAAAATTCCAAAAATTGCAAGAATTCCTGAAAACTGCAAAAATTGCAGGAATTGCAAAAATTCCTGAAAATTGCTAAAACTGCGAAAATTACTGAAAATTGCAAAAATCGCAAAAATTCCTGAAAATTGACAAAATTCCTGAGGATTGCAGAAAATGCAAAAATTCATGAAAATTGTTAAAATTGCGAAAATTCCTAAAAATTGAAAAAATTGCAGAAATTGCAAAAATGCCTGGAAATTGCAGAAATCACAAAAATGCCTGAAAATTGCAAAAATTGGAAAAATTTCTTGAAATTGCAAAAATTACAAAAATTCCTCAAAATTGCAAAAATTCCTGAAAATTGCAAGAATTGCAAAAATTCCTGAAAATTGCAAAAATTGCCAAAATTCCTGAGAATTGCAAAAATTGCAAAAATCCCTGGAAATTGCGAAAATTCCTGTAAATTGCAAAAATTGCAAAAATTCCTAAAAATTGAAAAAATTTCAAAAATTTCTGAAAATTGCAGGAATTCCTGAAAATTGCAAAAATTGCGAAAATTACTGAAAATTGTAAAAATCGTAAAAATTCCTAAAAATTGCAAAAATTCCTGAAAATTGCAAAAATTGTAGAAATTGCAAAATTCCCGAAAAATGCAAAAATTCCTGAAAATAGCAATAATCACACAAATTTCTGGAAATTGCAGAAATTGCGAAAATTCCTGAAAATTTTGAAAATTCCTGAAAATAGCAAAAATCGCAAAAATGCCTGAAAATTGCAAAAATCGCAAATATTGCTGAAAATTGCAGAAATTGCAAAACTTTCAGAAGTTGCAAAAATTCCTGGAAATTGGAAAAATTCTTGAAAAGAGGAAAAATTCCTGAAAATTGCAAAAATTGCAAAAATTTCTGAAAATTGCAGAAATAGCAAAAATTCATGAAAATTGCAAAAATTCCTGAAAATTGTGAAAATTCCTGAAAATTGCAAAAATCGCAAAAATGCCTGAAAATTTAAAAAATTGCAAAAATTCCTGAATCACACAAATTTCTGGAAATTGCAGAAATTGCAAAAATTCCTGAAAATTTTGAAAATTCCTGAAAATAGCAAAAATCTCAAAAATGCCTGAAAATTGCAAGTGGCAAAAATGCCTGAAAATTGCAAAAATCGCAAAAATGCCTGAAAATTGCAAAACTTGCAAAAATTCCTGAAAATTGCAAGAATTACTCTGAAAATTGCAGAAATTGCAAAAATTCCTAAAAATTGTAAAAATTCCTGAAAATTGCAAAAATCGCAAAAATGCCTGAAAATTGCAAAAATTGCAAAAATTCTTGAAAATTGCATTAATCGCAAAAATGCCTGAGAATTGTAAAAATAGCAAAAATTCCTGAAAATTGCAAAAATTACAGAAATTCCTGAAAATTGCAAAAATTCCTAAAAATTGCAAAAATTGCAAAAATGCCTGAAAACTGTAAAAATTGCAAAAATGCCTGAAAATTGCAAAAATCTCAAAAATTCCTGAAAATTGCAAAAATCGCAAAAATGCCTGAAAATTGCAAAAATTGCAAAAGTTCCTGAAAATTATAGAAATTGCAAAAATTCCTGAGAATTGCAGAAATTGAAAGAGTTGCGAAAATTCCTGAAAATTTTAAAAATTCCTGAAAATTGCAGATTGCAAAAATTTATGAAAATTGTAAAAATTCCTGAAAATTGCAAAAATCGCAAAAATGCCTGAAAATTGCAAAAATCGCAAAAATTCCTGAAGATTGCGAAAATTCCTGTAAATTGCGAAAATTGCAAAAATTCCTGAAAATTGTGAAAATTACAAAAATTCCTGAACATTCCTGTGAATTGCAAAAATCGCAAAAAATTCCTGAAAATTGCAAAAATCACAAAAATTCCTGAAAATTGCAAAAATTCCTAAAAATTGCAAAAATTGCAAAAATTCCTGAAAATTGCAGAAATTGCAAAAATTGCGAAAATTCCTGAAAATTTTAAAAATTCCGGAAAATTGCAAAAATTGCTGAAGATTGCAGAAATTGCAAAAATTGCAAAAATGCGTGAAAATTGCAAAATCGCAAAAATGCCTGAAAATTGCAAAAATCGCAAAAATGCCTGAAAATTGCAAAATTTGCAGAAATTACTGAAAATTGCAAAAATTGCAATAATTCCTGAAAATTGCAGAAATTGCAAAAATTGCGAAAATTCCTGAAAATTGCAAAAATTGCAAAAATTCATGAAAATTGTAAAAATGCCTGAAAATTGTGAAAATTGCAAAAATTCCTGAAAATTGCAAATATTGCAGAAATTGCAAAAATTCCTGAAAATTGCAAAAATGCCTGAAAATTGCAAAAATCGCAAAAATGCCTGAAAATTGCAAAAATTGCAAAAATTCCTGAAAATTGCAAAAATTACAAAAATTCTTGAAAAATGCAGAAATTGCAATAATTCATGGAAATTGTAAAAATTCCTGAAAATTGCAAATATCGCAAAAATGCCTGAAAATTGTAAAAATTGCAAAAATTGCAAAAATTCCTGTAAATTGCAAATATTTCGAAAATTCCTGAAAATTGTTGAAATTGCAAAAATTGCTGAAAATTGCGAAAATTCCTGGAAATTGCAAAAATGCCTGAAAATTGTTAAAATTGCAAAAATTCCTGAAAATTGTGAAAATTGCAAAAATTCCTGAAAATTGTGAAAATTGCAATAATTCCTGAAAATTGCAGAAATTGCAAAAATTCATGAAAATTGCAGAAATCGCAAAAATTCATGAAAATTGTAAAAATTCCTTGAAATTGCAAAAATCGCAAAAATGCCTGAAAATATTAAAAATTGCAAAAATTCCTGAAAATTGCAAAAATCGCAAAAATGCCTGAAAATTGCAAAAATTGCAAAAATCGCAAATATTGCAAAAATTCCTAAAAATTGTAAAAATTGCAAAAATTCCTGAAAATTGCAGAAATTGCAAAAATTGCTGAAAATTGCGAAAATTCCTGTGAATTGCAAAAATTCCTGAAAATTGTAAAAATTGCGAAAATTCCTGAAAATTGCAAAAGTTCCTGAAAATTGCAAAAATTGCAAAGATTCCTGAAAATTGCGAAAGTTACTGATAATTGAAAAAATTCGCAAAAATTACTGAAAATTGCAAAAATTTTCCCGAGACATATAACTTCGCATATAACCTCCAGAAATTCAAGAAGAACACCAATTCCTACCTTATTTCTCTTGGTTCTACAGGATATTCCTTTTCGTCGAAACCAGAACATAGAAAAAAAGCTACTCACTGGTAAGATTTCGACAGGATGTTATGCAGTGAGAGTGATTCCTAGGAAATTAGGATTCTTTTCTGCCAAGATGGTTTATTCACTAATAGATTCCCAATTACGATATGGAATACCTTTTTGGGGAGTGTTTTTAATGAGGCTAATGTGGTTTCGAATTTTGAATTTGTAGCAAAAACGAAATACAATGTTGATTGAATATTATAATTCAACATAAAGAAAATATTGCAAAATGATCACATCATATTGGCAAACATAAATTCAATCTCGATTATACATATGAGAATTATATGAAAGGGGTTTCTATAAGTTGGCATTATAATATCTCTGTCCAAACTTGTATACGAATACACTTGATATTTGATAGAGCATATAGAAACAAGTTTTAAATTCAACATAGCAATCAACTAACCATGGAAACCATCGGGAAACCGTTATAAATGGAACACAATGTATCTCAATTCCCTAGTCTAAACTTTCGAAAGCTTCTTTTGAAATGTGAAATGAGGAATTTACGCGACGGACTTTTGGTCCTCACTGTATGTTCTGATATAACTGTTTGGAAAATATAGAAGAAACCACATGGATCATCCAGGATGATTCAACGAAGGTCGATAAGTATCACCCCCTATTATTTTCATCAATTTACCACTTCCAGTATTTTTTTATCTCTTGGAGCACACGAAGGGGAAGTCCTACAAAGTACGTGGAACGTCGTGCGTACCTAGGGAGGATAGTGATAGGAGGTAGATGTTGGAATGTTTCATGAACTTTTGGAGGTTATAAGTACTTGGCAATACTTCCACTGGCAAAGAATTCCAAAGCTTCGCCGTCCTATCTAGAGGAACGAGTTTCGGTAGAGTGTTGTTCGACATTCTTCAAGGTTAACGACGAAGGGATGTGCTGAATGGGCCTGTCAAATTCTTCTGACTGGTATTGCTAGTGATGGAATTATAGCAGAGATTTCTGAGGAACATTTCTCGTGGAAGTATCAATAGAAAAGTGAAAGGTCACCGACTTCTCCACGGTGTTCTTATGGGGTCAAAGAGTTGGTGAGTGTGGCATCACCCACCAGGCGAATGGCTCTTCTCTGGATGGAATGGTAGAGCATCAGCGTATGTTTGGGTGCTGAACCCCATACATGAGAACAGTAGTCTGAATCTGGCCGTGCCTGTGCTTTGTAGATCATGAGAAGCTGTTGAGGTGTAAAGAACAAGAATCCAAGATTTTGTGGAGCAGCTTTTGCAGTGGATCGGACATGATTGAAACAATGAGATGAGTGTTTCCTATCTCCGATCTAGACAACTGCTTATTGTTTTTATATTTTATATTTGTTTTCGAAATATCCGAAATCCTCAATACATATACAGATATAATGCATATATTTACAGAGATAATGTTGTTATTAGTCTGAATCAGAGTACCATATATAAAAAAGATTGGAAGGTTGTTTGGGACTCATTCCCAACAGATTTCGAAACAAACTAAAATCCAATTTTTTTTTTCAAAATGAAGATCGTTTTTGTTCTAGCTGCTATAATTGCAATTTTGGCTACTGCTTCGGGGCAATCAGATGTTCCACAAAATTGGGATAATGATGATGATGACTGGGGCAATGCTGAGAAAGAAGACGATGGTTTGGACATCCCTGAGAAGGATTTTGACGTTTTGAACAACCCTGAGAAAGATGATGTTTCGGACAAATCTGAGGAAGATGATCAAGAAGTAGATGACCTTGGGAAAAAAGAAGTCGAAGAAGACGTAGCAGGTGAGATTATTTCTGACACAATATACAGGGTGTTTCTTAAGTACGTTGTGAAATAAAATCAGGAGCATGTTGCTGACGTCAAAATGAAAAGAAAAATTCGTGTATTAATAATGTCCGCAAGTTATTCGTTGCCGACAGAGTGTCAAAGTTTGATTCTTATTTCTGTTATCTGTATAATCGTGAAAATCTAGTGGAATTTGTTCATTGAAAGTATTTTTCAATGACAAAATCAAATTTAATGTTGGTTTGTCTCTTTCGTCGGAACACGCTGTATATTTTCTACTTTTGAGGAAGATATTTTTCTTCTATTCACAAATATACATATATGATTTGCTGATGTTTCCTCAAGACTTTGTCCACTTATTGAGCATTGAATCAAAGTTGACAATAACATTTAGATGGCTATGCTGGACACAACAGAATTGCTATGGGAACGAAACAGATATTTTTTAACATCTCTGCCAGTTTTGAAATAAAATTGTTTTATTCAGTAGAGGAAAAATACGAGATAGTGAAACTATATTATGAAAATATTGCAAAAATTTCAGTAGTGCAGCAATAACATAGTCTAAAACGGTTATCAGCTAACTATATATCATGTGAACAGAAAAAAAAAGATCTTTCACGAAAGTTGCAAATATACAGGATGTTTTATTTAAAAAAACTGATTTAGACTCTTTTTTCCTATTTTGCGATTCGCATTTGTTTATTCAAGTAGTGCCAAAAGATAGTACAGATGAATTCCTACAACTTCCATATTTGAAGTTTTTTTCCATCTATATAGTTGAAGCTGTAGGTAGAGGGGTCGAAATATACGGAGACACCTTGTATTCGAAAGTGGTAGCAACACATTTTGGCGTTTTTTGTCATTCTGTACATATATGAGTAAGTATGAGGATTCACAAGTAATATTCACACAAATGTGTTGCTACCACTTTCGAGTACACAAAATGGCTCCAATACCAGCCACCAGCCAGGCAAATCAGAAACGACATAAATATGGACTTGGCAACAATTTATTATTCTCGAATGGGGATCCAATAACTTGGTAGATTTCAATGCAAACAAAACACAAGTATGCCTTTTCTCTAGAAAAGCCGATCTCACTGTCCCCAACGTAAGCTTGTCAGGAGTAACCATACCTTTACGACATCCATTTCGATGCTTGAGATTACTATCAGCAATAACCTTTCTTGGGGAAATCACGTGAGATCAATTTGTGAAAGTGCATCCCAAAAACTTGGTTTTCTGTTTCGGGCCAGGAGCTATTTCACTTCCAGTGAGCTGCTTATGATCTATAAGGCACAGATCCGACCTGTCCTGGAATACTGTTCCCATATTTGGAGTTTAGCACCCAAACATACCCTGAAACGGTTGGATTCTGTCCAAAAAGGGGCAGTTCGTCTCGTGGGTGATGCTTCGCTCACAAACTCACTCACTTCTCTGGAACACCGTAGAAAAGTTGGCGATCTGGAACTATTTTATAGATATTTTCATGGACGATGCTCTTCTGAAATATCAACAATTCTTCCTCTCTTGGCAGTCCCTGCGAGATTAACCAGTCGAGTTGAGGCTTCGCGCCCCTTCGTGGTCACTTTAGTGACCTGCAGAACATCTCTTTCCAAAGACTCGAGGCATTGATAAAATATTCTATAATGTATTTGTTTACTAACATCATCGCTAGGTAGGTGTCAAACTATAAAAACAAACATTTTCTAAGCAAAATATTTTGCATTTGTATGTTGAGAACGGTAGCAGATTCGTTCCCGAAACGTCCAAAGATGAGCAAAAATTCAATATTTTTTCAATATATCTATACCTATTTCTTCTCTTCGAACATTTTTCCAAACAAAGTGTCACTGACAAGCTATTGTTTATATAGGCTCCCTGATAAAAAAAATTGAGAAAAGAAACGAGGAGAGAGAATCCCAAATAATCAAGTGAAATAAATGATTCTCATGATTTTACATGAAAATGCTACAACATGACCCCCAATTCGAAGCAATTTGGCAGTTGAAAAAAATATTTGTATACGTTTTTTCATGAGAGCAAGAGAGAGAATAATAACAAAAAAACAAGATTTAATGTGATTGGAAACATTAACGTAACATTTTTTCATAGGTGAGGATGAGAACAAATTCGAGAACGTTAACGAGAATGACGACGATATCAAGAATGGGATCGAGAAAAAATTTGAGAACGTAGAAAAGAATGACGACAATATCAAGAATGGGATCGAGAAAAAATTTGAAAACGTAAACAAGAATGATAACGATATCAAGAAAGAAATCGGGAACAGATCTGAAACTGTAAACGAGAATGACGACGATATCAACAATGAGAACGAGAAGAGATTTGAAAACGTAAAAAAGAATGACGACAATATCAAGAATGAGATCGGGAACAGATTTGAAAACGTGGAAAAGAATGACGACGATATCAAGAATGAGATCGAGAACAGATTCGAAAACGTAAACAAGAATGATGACGATATCAAGAAAGAAATCGAGAACAGATTTGAGAATGTTAACGAAAATGACGACGATATCAAGAATGAGAACGAGAAAGGATTGGAAAACGTAAGGAAGAATAACGAAGATATCAAGAATGAGGTCGAGAATAGATTTGAGGTAAACGGAAATGACAACGACATCAATCATGAGAAAGAGAATAACATGAATAATGTGAACAACGAGAACAACGAGAACAACAAGATCAACGAGAACAACAACAACAACGAAGACAATAAGGACAACAACGATGACAACACGAACAACAATGATGATAACAAGGAGAAGGACAACAACGGGAAAGAAAATGAGAACGACAACAAACCAATTTGGTGGACAGGAGTGTTGGAATATTATGTAAGTTTAAAAAATTTGGCAGATGATTACATTCTCCGATTATAATATATTTATTTTCCTCATGACTGACCAGTTTATTACCATATGACATAAATAAAATATTGATAATTTTGGACATATTGGCACTCTTATGAATTTCGTTAAAATTAAAACCTTTTATTTCAAAAAAGTCTCCTAGTGAAATATAAAGAATGTTATACCACATCAAAAACAACATTGATTATGGCATTTTTCAACATAATGTGCCAGGTTCGCGTGGTGATTTTGTTAACGGTATGAAGAGTCTAAGTGAGCTGATTGAAATGAACTCGCGAATCGGGCAAACATATATTTCTTCTTCAAAGGTCCACCAATATTTTTTTTGTGGCGTGAGAAGAGTTCGACATTTCATCTCTGTTGACAGATTATAAAATGTCACATTTCATAAATAACTTTTTCTCACGAAAAAAAAGTGACTACTTTTTTTTCGGATATACAGCGTGTCTCACTTTAAACGGCCCCCCTCTATATCTCAGTTATTAGTCATGCGATTCCAACCAAATTTGGTGTGGTATGAATAACCATGAATATGGTCAAGCAAACAAATTTTTATTGATTTATCTATTTTAACAGTACCATCATTGTATATATTTCTCACAATTTTTAATGTTGAAAACCAACTGGGAACATTTGTTCGAATACTCGAGGAGCAAACAACTTGTATCAACCATTCTCAAGACTTACCATTGGTCAAAATTCTCATTTGTATAAAGGTATTTCACTTTATAACCATTTTGAAAACAAGTTCGGTAATGAACAACATTTTAATAATTTAAAATACTTCAAATGTCTCTTGCACAGGTTTTTGGTAAGACATGCGTTTTATTCTGTAGAAGAATTTTTTCAGTGTTAAACGGTTTTATCTATTATACATGGATTTTAATTCGGTGTTCAATGTTATCTAAATGTAACAATAACAGTTTTCTATTTTTTGAGTCTTTATTACAGTTATAGAACCATTTCTCATGACTAGTCTAATAAAGTAGGTACCTGTATGAACATATATTTGTTTAACATGTTTTGTACCACTTTTAAAGATGCTTAAATATATTTCTATTCTATTCTATTTCTATGATCAGTTTGACAGATATACACATTATTTTGGACAGTGCCGTGCGTTTTTGTTGAACTAAAAAGGGGGCGATTTTTCATAAAATCATATTAGGCATTTTTTTATAGGAAATCTAACCTCATATTATTGTTCCTCGTGCTTTCAAACCTCCATATGCAAAAAATCACCTAATTCCGAATTAACAGGATTGGCTTCATTTTTTTCATTTTCAGTCTTTAATAAATAGTGACTTGAAATCAACTACGAATTTTGGAACGTTCAATGGCTCCGGTAGGTGGAAAATCATGATTTGGAAGGAAAAACCAGTTATACTTTTTTATGTTGAACTCACCGTTTCCGAGTAAATAATTATTACGTTCGCAAAAATGCTGTTTAGATGTGAGTGTTTTTCTGAAACCCTTCGTAGGCATCATATGAAAATCCACATATGTGCGTTTGAAACCATGAAGAATAATATTATGAGGTCAGTTTTCCAGTGAAAAAATGCCTAATATGATTTAATAAAAAACTGACCCCTATTCATTTCAATAAAAATGCACGACACTGTCTAAAATGATGTTTGTCTTTGAAGAACTGGTCATATTGATGATTATTCATACCGATACAAATTTGGTAAAGATCGCACGACTGATAGCTGAGATATAGAGAGGGGGCCTTTTGAAATGAGACACGCTGTATAATAATATATACACTGTTGATGGCTGTTGTCGTGCTAGTTCCGAAAAATAGTGATATATTCTCTATCTTCTAATAATCAGTGAATATATCTATTTGAAGCATTATGTAGGTAAGCTTATTGCGGAAGCCAGCATGCCCATGGTGTTTGGCCTCTAGGTTTCAGACCTAACCAACTGATTTCATCATCCTACTCATGCGGAAAGTGTCTTTCCGCACGTTAGGAAAATTACTATTTTCAGTAACTGAATTGGTCGAATCTTAAATTTTCGTTATTTTGTTTTTTTTATTTAAATTTTTGTACTTTTGATATAAGTATACCTATTATATAAATATATATTTAGTTTTGTTATTTTTTTATACTTATTATTGTTATCAAATGATGCTATTAAAACCAACATAAGTTACGTATTGCTTTTATTTTTCCTAAATATTAGATATTGGACCTAGACCCCCTCCCCCTCAGGAAAGAATCCAAATTACGCCACTGCAACAGATTATTACAAAATTGCTACCAAATCTTTCATATGATACAATTCCATTCGATATACTCATTTACCGTAGCAATATATCGCCTGATCAACCATCATAAATGCCGGACCTGTGCCCGATGCATCAAAATGTTACACGCGATAAAACATAATTCTGGGTTACAGGAAACATGGTACAGACGGTGAGTTCTTCATCACCTTAAAATAAAGGGTGTCGAGTAGTATACACTGGTGAAAATCATACTGGGAGTCGAAACCAAATTATTAGTACTTTTCTCCAACATTCAGTCTACAAACAATACAAGATTTACTTTTCTCGATGCGCGTAGTATTCTGTATTTTTTTTGCAGATGAATCCTATCCAAGTACTGTGATAACAGAGGAAAATATATCACGAAATAGTGGACAAGATGTTGAAGGAGTTGAACTAGACAGCAGAAGATGGTGGTTGCAAGATATATGGTTCCAATAGGAGAACCCAGAGAATCTATCTTATACATAATATGTCAAGGTGTCAACATTGCATTGCTCTTTACACATATGAGACTGATTAAAGCAGTAATGAATCAATTGTTGTTGCCATTTTCACTATAACTAAAACATGCGTTGCAAGATTTAGGGGGGGGGGGGGTTATGGGATTATCAGCCCCTAGTGAATTTTAAGAATCGGTAGAGAAAAAGAGAAAAAGCAAGCAGCTATATACTCGTCGCCGACGAAGCGACAAAAATTATATTATATTGCTTCTTGCAGTGGCGTAACCAACGCAAAATACATAAGAATGCCTCCGAGGATGCCTCATTTTCAGTCACAAATCACGAATAGTATAAATAAAAATGAAAAGAACGAGCTAAGTAGCTCTACTTCACCAATTTATTCATATATAATACCACAAGTGATAATATTTTGCCGGAAATATTCGGTGATTGTTACGACAGCTTGTTGCCTAGTAATTTCGTGAATGACATTGTTATCAAAACTACGAGCCGTAGGCCGTAGAGCAAACTGGAGTATGTCAATCGACGAATATTTCCAGGAAAAATAGTATCACGAGTTGTATTCGTATGACTATTTCATGATTGAATGAGACAATATATATGTATAGGAAACATAATTTAAGTATATTCCAACTCGAACTGCGAAGAAGAACATAATGATAGTAATGAAATACAGAATTAACTTTTTTAGAAATTAACTATATAGCTACTTATAGTTATTCACAAAGTGGAATGTACAATTTTGATGAATAGTATTCTTTTTATTGTCTTGGAGATGGTTGCTCTCAAAAGAGTGTATACAATTGCTATCCAATTCAAACAAAATAAATTGAATTTATGTGACATGGAATGATTAAAAAAAAAAGATATCGTCGCCGAGGGCTCGAACCATCGACCTTCGTATCCTCGCGCAACAACCCTAACAGTTGCGCTACATCAGCTAGTAATTATATCAGTCAGTCACAATAACTTGAGTAATTGAAGAAGATTACTTTAAGAAGGAATTTGAATTCTATTATTGTTGTGTCAGACCGTCAACAAATATGCAAACTTTTGTAAATTACACATGAAACGTCCAGTCAGAATAAAATTGTCTCGCCTTTCGTACAAAATATCTCACTAACGCGAATTATAAGTAAATAAAATAATAAAGTAGGAACTTAGGTTATTGTCTCGGATTTGAATCCGAAGCAATCTTGACCAGACACGATGTCAAAATTTTATCGCTGATAAACGAGGTTTGTTGGTCACGTGTGGGTCAATTCGGCTTCTGTATTGGTAGAGCAAGTCCGATAAAATTTGATAAACAAAACATATCGCTAGAATACAGAAGAACCCGTGAAAATGGTCGATTCTGATTGGTTCTCGAGATCAAGAGTGGAATAGTCTATTATAAATATAAAAATATTTCTTCGCATCAAAGAAAAGCAAATCTTGAAAATAATTTTTTCTACTCACATAACTAAAATGGCATTTAGCGTATGTACCACGCTAAGGGATCGATTAATCACAGATTGACGATCTGTGATTTATTCAAAATATTAAACAAGTTACCATGGCAACACGATTTCTTAAACACATTACCATGGCAACACAGTTCATTAAACACAGCTTCAGTAATTTGAGACATGTCTGGCCTGTCAATTGTATTAACTGTCAACTGTTCTTTTCGAATTATGTATAAGAATTATTCAAACAATTTTCGTTTGTATCAGAATTCTTCATCAAAAATATACTTATGCGAAATGTAGACGAAAGTGAAATAGAACAGAATGTCCTGGTACTTGCATATCTCTAAGCAGAAGTGTAAAAATGAAGCATCCATCTTTGAGAACAATTTATTTATTCTGCGCTAAGCATGACAATAAACGTGAAACAAAGGTTAGTAAGCAATGGACTGGACACATCTACACCCAATATCACTCATACGTGTCTCACTGGTTGCATGCAGTTGCATGTATTATGTTCTCAATTCCCATTTCTTTCGAATTATTTTGTAGGTTAGCAGGAATAGCAGGTATGTTAATGTAATTTTCGGAGTTCGTAGAAAAATCATAGTATGTAACGCGTTTATAAACTCTTCTAGACACTCGTTTATTAAACACTCGCTCCGCTCTGCTCCGCTCGTGCTTAAAATACTCGTTACTAAAAGGACGTTTATAACACTTGTTACATAATATACTATTAGATCTCCTGAGTTTAGAAATAAACTTAACGTTCTTTCATAAAAAAAATATTAATAACTTTGTATGTAAACTAACTTATTAAACGTTAAAATAATGTTTTTCCGTGAATAATGGAAATGGTGAGAATATACTGGAAATGAGTAAAACGATTATCTATTGAATCTGAGGAAGGTGGTCTGGTGAGAATTGTTGGAATTTGTGCATGAAAAGAATCAGATGAAGGTGAGTTTGTTAGCCATATGGTTGGAATATATTGAAAGTGGATATGATGCGAATCTATTGAATGTGGGCAAGATGGGAATATTAGAAAAGTGGTTCTGAGAAGGGTCGTGAAAATTTATCAAAAAAGGAAATTTTGAGAATTTAAAGGAGGTGGACCTGATGAGAATTGTGAGAATTTGTGGGTATGTTGAAAAACTGTTGAAAGTTTACATGGCGAGAATTCGAGTATTGTCTCTGATGATAATAATTGTAATTACCGGCAAAACTTATATTAATGATGAATTTCGAAATTGGGCTTGAGTGTTGAGTTTTGATTTGATAAAGATTAAAAAAATAAAAATGACCAACTCGGTCAGGTCACGTGACGTTCGCCACATGTCAAAGGTTACATTTTCTCAGTTTATTTCCTAAAAATAGGCTTGACTGTTGAGTGTTGCTTTGAAAAAGATGAAAAATGGCTTACGCGGTCAAGGCTACGTGACTTTCGCCACATGTCAAAAAAGTCACATTTTCTCAATTCATTCCCTGCAAATATGCTTAAGTGTTGAGTTTTGCTTTGGAAAAGATGAAAAATGGCCAACTCGGAAAGGTCACGTGACATTCGCCAGATGTCTAAAGTTACATTTTGTCAATTTATTCCCTGAAAATAATAAGCCTGCTTGGATTCCAGAACGTTCACTACATATAGTTGTTTTTATTCCGATTATACACATGTCTTGAATTTAAACGTTCTATTGCAACTATACTGCCCCACATGTGAAGTGAGACAAACATTTCTAGCATTCTCGAACCGTCATACCTTTTGATTGGATCAGACAATTGTCAATTTCTTTCAAGATTCTGATAGCTCATTCGATTGAGTACAAGTTTCATTTATACAGAGTGTCTCAAAAAAGCGCAACAACTGGGAAGTTTATTTTTTAATGGGACACCCTGTATATCATTGCATGTTTAGATTATACGTTGAATTCTGAGAGAGCATGATGAATTGTTTAAGATCACAAAAGTTAATAGTTTTGGAATTATGAACAATTTCAAATTATTATTTCAACTATAACAACACCATCAGTTCAGTGAGGAAACCGTGCTTCACTTTCCTATTCTAACCTTTCGATAGCTTTTTTTAATGTGAAATAAGAAAATTAAGAGGAGGGGGGCGACGGACTTTTGGTCCTCATGTATATTCTGATATGACTGGAAAATATTGAAGAAACCACATGCATCATCCAGGACGAGTCAAAGAGGGTTGAGATAAGGATCACCCTGTATTATGTTCATGGTTTTCATCCATTTACTACTTCAAATTTAATAAATCATTGAAACAATGAACAGAGTGTTTCCTATTAGAACAAGCAATCTAGAGAAAAATAAATCGTTATTCAAACACCAAGGTAGTAAAGAATATCATTATTACCCATGGCTCAAGATTATATCCCGAGGCCTCAGCCGAGGGATATAAGGTCCCGTGGTAATATTATTCTCTACTACCAAAGTGGATATTATTTTTTTTCTACTAGGTGGGCCAAAAGAAATCACCCTATTGGAAGATGCTCTTATTTTTGCAAATGGCGGCCAATGTCAGATCTGTTTCGACATTTGTGAACTAGACAGATGTAGAATACAAGTGAACAAGCCATGGAGCGATACACTCCCCAAGAAAGCGGAATAATCCAAGCCAAGCCATCCTCAATCTCGTGGACGATTTTTCGACCAAAATCATAATGAGCGACAAGGCTCATTTCCACCTCAGCGGGTACGTGAACAAGCAGAACTATCGCTTCTGGGGCACTGAAAACCCACGAGTGATGCACGAGGAGTCATTACACCCACTCAAAGTGACTGCATGGTGCGGTGTTTACTCTGGAGGAGTCATCGGGCCATGTTTTTCGAGGTCGACGCTGGTCAAACGACAACAGTGGACGGTGTGCGCTATAGGGCCATGTTCACCAAGTTTTTTTCTGCCGTAATTGAACGAATTAGGACTGGAGGACATGTGGTTCCAACAGGACGAAGCAACGGCACACACTGCGCGAGCCACAATCGATATTCTGAAGGCGGCGTTCCCAGATCGCCTCATCTCTCGTTTTGGCGATTTGCTCTGGCCCGCAAGATCGCCCGATTCAACCGTTTCAGACTTTTTTTGTGGGGTTTTTTGAAGTCTTGTGTTTACGTGAACAGGTCTGAGACCCTAGAAGCCCTCAAGGACAACATTCGACACGAGTGCCAGAATCTGTCGCCCGAAGATCTCGCCGAAGTGATGAAAAATGCCATAAAACGAGCCCGTATAGCAATCAATTGTGGCGGCGCCCATTTGGCCGATATCATCTTCTCGACTTGACCAATAAAATTCTAAAGGTTCAAATAAACATAATCAAAAAACAGAATCGGAGCTTTTTATTAAGAAAAAAAATTAGATCCAATTAACATCGGATGACTTCTTTTGGCCCACCTTGTACAAGCGTGCGTGATTCACCCTATATACCCGCACGCGATTTAGTTTGGGAAGTGTCATTTTCCCGCAGTAGTGCCGGAAAAGTTTTTCCACGCTATAGTGTGGGAAATCTTTTTCCACACTATAGTGCGGGAAAAACATTTAAATAATATTCTCGCAAAATATGAGTGGTGGGTGAC